AAAAATTCCTTAAATTAAATTAAATTAAATTAAATTAAATTAAATTAAATTCAGTTAATATAATAACTCTATAGTAATGTTCCCTCTTTTGTCACATGACAAAAATTACAGTTGGGCAACTGGTTTTGGAGGACCTCTGCACCAAAACCATTTGATGGCAAGCAGCTTATATAGCATAATGTAGGCAGGTAAAATTAACAAAATATTGGAATTGGAATCAACAGAAATGCTGAAAACATGCCAGAAATCCAACAGAGAAATCTGTCAAAAATGTGCAGACTTTCTGATCATCATACAAAACGTTTGTGATGCTGGAAGTTGGTATCTGCTATAGATGAGAAGAATAGAAGAATGCACTACAGGGCAGTAGCACCCAGTACTTATCAACCAGATCCATTTTTCATGATTCTAGGAAAGAAGTAGCTACAAAACTAAACATTGAGTGGATTGCTGGATTGGCCTGGAATCAGATGAGAGCAGATAAGACTGAAAAAGGGCACTTCTACATTGCCACATTTCCACTCTCCATTCCCTTAAAAGCAATTTGAAAATAACCCATATTGCCTTGTTGCTACCAACTGAGCGGTGCTGAGAACAAAAAATGAAAAGCATTGTCCCAATCAGCTGCTACAAGTTCTGCAACAACATGTATCCCCTCCTCAAGAAAAAGAGAAAGACCTAAACAGCTGATGGTTTGCATATGGTTCCTTCCCCTCCCAAAAAGGTCAACCAAGTGAATCTTGTCAATTTCATGCTCATTTGTCCTGTTCTTTGCTGGGCAACTAAGTAGGAGATGCAAAAGGGTCAAGTCTGAATTCTCATTTTAGGAAATTGCCTTGGCAGTTGAAATTCAGGCCCAGGGAGGAGGGATAAAACAAGAGTTTTCTCTGAAGGAGAAATGACCAGTTCCCCAAGTTCCACAGAACTTTATAATTTCTGTTGCATGGTAGTTGAATCAGAAGTCAATCTCCTCAACTGTTGAAAATATGACAACATGGGATCAAAGGGGAATGAAGTCAGTCCAGCTGCAAATAGTGTGTAGAAGTACCCAAAGAGTAATAGCTCCACTTTGGTGAACACAAAATCATTGTTATCAAAGAACCTTGTTGGTAGGCATTCTGAGGTGGGTTTTTTTTTTTTTTTTTGCCTTTTCTCTTTTCTGATTTGTTTCTTGGAATGTGTTTATAAATAGGACGGAGAAAGAAGGTTTCTGTATGGATAATGGTAGGATCTGTGGAGTCTACAGCCCTAAACCATGTTCTGTTTTGTGAAAAAATATTTTTTTAAAAAAGAGGTGAACTTAAATTCTGAATTTGCCAGGGCATTATTTTACTACAGGGCTGAAAAGAGGCTAGATGTGTCATGGCTTGCCCAGAGTGGCACTTTGGAGTGAAGAGCAACCAGGATTCAATGCAAACCAGGAGTCAGGACCAAAGAACTCTGTGAAAACATGCCAGAGTTCTGACAGTCCTTGCTGAATAAGTAAGGAATCAACAGGAATGGATGTTTTCTTATACTTCCTTCTGGGAAGTACTCAGTGGCCAGCCTTGGTGAGTGTAGCCAGACTAGAGGCAGAATGTTGCTTTTTTCTCTCAGAGAACTGAGTTACTTAGCTTTCTGTTCTATGTGGGACAGGAGATCAATAATTCTAGAGAGGCTGCAAGGATATACTTTAGATGTGGGGGAGATCAACAATTTTTGACAAGGTATATAGTTGCCCACCACTAAAAAAAATATACAGCTGGCATTCAAACATTGATTTTTCCCCCTTGGTTTTGATGGTTACTCTGAGAAATTTGTAATATTTTTCCATCATAGTTAAAGATGATTAAGGATAATTTTTGCATATGTCATTGGAAATACCACAGCAGAGAGAACTTATGCAATAATGACTAAAAGGTGTTTTTGAAACCAAAAACATTGATTTATTCCCAATGCTTTTGCCCAGGGACTCCATCACAGACTTGTTCTACAGCTTACTGTAATCCACCAATACAATGTGCTGCATTGTTTAAAATGGCCTCTAGTAGCTCCTTGACCACTCACTCGCATTAGCTCCTTTTCTGAACTAATACTTTGATCTTTAACTCAACAGACACTTAGTGCAAATTAGTGCAAAAGGAACCAGTTGTTTCTTTAATGGGCAAACACTTCTCATTATTGACAGACTAAATGGCACAGTTTTTGTCTGACAAATTCAAAGTCAGTTCTGCTTTCATTATATTTTGTTTTTTTTAAAAAAAAAACAGGCACTTACTTAGACATATAATCCACTAGTTGACTGTAATATGGTTTAGCTTCATGATCTTGATAAAATTGTGCTGCTATCTCAGGACTTATATGTGCTTCTCTCATTTCTGAGATTAGAAATCCAGCATCTTGTACTTCATTTATAATTTCATCTATAAAATGGGGGGAAAGATTATTTCACTTCATCTTAAAAGTATAAAAACACCATAAAATATGTCCAATTGTATAAAAACTGGCAAAAAGAGAAACTTTATTTCCCTGCTACTTACAGAAAGACTCTATTTATCTGAAAATGTAATTCCCAAATGATTACCTGTGAATTGAGATCCCTTACATTTGTGAATAAGAAAAAAAAAACTGTTATAGACAAAAGAATTGGCAGAAGATGCAAATTACTACAGATTTGGCTGCTGAAAATATGGGTAACAGAGGCATCCATGGGAGGGGGTATGTAAAAAAGTTAAGATGGCAACCACAGTGGTGCAGTCAAAGCTCTGCACCTTTTAACATAGAGCCACCATCTTGAGGTTTTTGACAAATCCCCTGCAGATGCCTCTGCCTGAAGATTAGCCTTTTGCTTGGGAGTGGCTGCTTGCCTGGTTAATTTTTATCCTATAATGCTTAAGCAAGGCTTCACTGTCTTTTTTTTCCACTCTGTCTAGATACCTCTTCCTTTTGCCTTTTATACATCCACTTTTCTCCCATTTTATCTTTCCTTCTGTTCCCAGGGTAGCAACCTCTTTCTCCAACTCCATCTGTGGTTTTCCTTTTTTTTTAGTGCTGCTGCTAAATGGAGGGAGGAGAATATATATGTTTATGTGTATTACTCTGTGTGAAAGAAATTTGTTGGCATATGCAGATGGGGATGAAATAATTTTATAATGGCACATCTTATTTTACAGGCAATTAATGTAAGTGTGCTCAGAGAAAAATATAACCTTATGAACACATCATAATATGAATCTTACCTTTGTGTTCCTCAAAAGCAGAGGGTTTAATGAGAGCCATAGTGTTTTCTACAGGAAAGAAATATTGTAATTCCTCTGCAGCTTGATTTGGGTTTGAGCTGCCATGCAGCTGATTGATTGGCACATCAGAGATCGCAAATTCAGCACGTAAACTGGGAACAATAAAATCAGGAAATTAGAAAAATGGCACAGAAGCTTCATGCTTTTAAGTTATAACCTCACATCAAGTATATTAAACTATGAGGTTATAAACCAATGAAAATACCTGAGATCAAATGTGAAAACCTGAATTTTTTTTCAGTCTGTCTCTCATAGAAGATCTGTGTTCCATTTCTGACTGAATGGACTATGAAACTAGGAAACTATGAAAAGCAGAGCATCAGCTCAACAGATTTTTTTTTTTTCTGAGACAAGTTTTAGGGGGTTGGAGCTCAAGAATACAGAGACCACAGGATTCACCTAAAGCTGAGATTAATGTTCAAGTTCCTGGTCAGCAGTAGGAAACTGAAAGAACTTGGGTAATATTTGCAAAATGGCTTGTGGTAGAGGGACATTTTGACACTTTCCTTAGCTGTCCACAGATATCACCTTAAGCAAAATTCAACACCAGTTCAGAGAATCTCATTCAAATAATAATAAATCACTGTTGGCATTTTAAAGGGAAATCTAACAAATGTTGAACAGTGTCGTTTCTCAGGGATTTTTCCATATGGCAGTGTAGACACAGTGAGGAAAACGTCTTAATCACAATAAGTTTCTCTGATTTAAATGGTGAACCTCATTGTATTGAACGTTGATACCAATATACTCTTCAGCTCTTGTTAGCAGAAAAACTTGGCTCCCTATGGAGCTCTGAAAAATGGATCTCATGGCCTGCCCCTTGTTTCTGAAGTGTAAGAGGCTGGCTAGGTGACATCTTCAATGATCTGAGATCCTCTGAAAGATATGGGAGAGAACCTTGCAGTGACCTTTTATAGAATAATTTAGAGAACCCCTCTAAAGTTATCAACAAAGGAGTTACTGAATTTGTTTTATTCAGAAGTCAAACTTTTCATTGAATAATAGAAATGATTGGCTTAAAATGTAAGAAAAGAATGCAATCATTTTCAAACACTCCAGTCACTACAATTCAGTGTCAATAATAAAGTATGTACAATCTTGTGTATGTTGTCTTTTACCTTCTGTAACTGCATGAGGGTAATCTCATGCTTGCATAATATTAATGCAGTGTCATTTTAAGGATGTATAATGACGTTGTTGAAAATCATGTCTGTGCCTTCTAAGTTAACACATGGTTTCCTAAAGAGAAGTGCCTCTTGCAAAGAGTGTCTTACATTATAATTTCCCATGACACACTGAAGTAGTGTAAACACTATCCAGATGATGGCACTATTGTCACAAACTTCAAAAGAGGGCACAACATCAATACAGAATATAAAACACAGTTCTCAGGATACCACTATTACAATAAAATAGATTACCTTTCTGGGCATTGCTCCTTTGCTTCTTGGACAATCTTTGGGCCCAGTAATTCCCTCCATTTTTGGATTGCATTCTCTCGTATCAAAGCAAGAGCAAGAGTTGGCCCACTGTTTAAAACAAATACAGCAGATTTTATTTTTTAAAAGCACAGCTTCTGAATACGTATGAATTCAGTGTAACAAACATTCTGGAATGTAACCAACAAATATTCTGGAATGTTTATAATATAGTACTCATTCACAAAGCTGAAACCAGGATTTTTTTTTATAAAATAAAAAAATTAAGAGAGTTTACAATTACAAGGAAAACCATACAAGTCTGTTTAAGGCAAGGTTCCCCAAAGTGGTGATTATCAACCCCCAAGGGTTGATAGGACTATCCATTATTGTTGTTATTCATAGTACTAGTAATTAAAGTGGTATTCATCAAATTATTTTCATATAATGAATGTTTGGGGGTCAGTGAACAATCTGAAATTTCATGAAGGGGTCGATGAGCTGAAGAATTTGGGGATCCCTGATTTAAGATATAACTGTTAATGTAAGCACTCATCAGAACTGATTATGTTTAGACAGACTGTTCGGCAACAAAGTTTGTCAAAAATCCATAACATTTCTGGCATTTTTAACTTTTTTAATGAGTAAACTAAAATCCTCCAGCAGCCTATAATGATGGTTATAACTTCTTCTACTACTAACAAGTCTACCTTCTTCACAGAATTTTTCATTAACAGGATTTTGCCTTTAAGTTCAAAATATTTTATCTAAACTTCTTTGGAATTTTATCTTTACCCAGGACAAGTATAAACCGACTATCAGTCTGAACACAAGATTTTTATAACAACGTCAGCGGTGCAAGTTGCATCACTGAGAATTGCTGAATTAATTGATACAGCCATTGTGAGTGCACTATGAAAACATTGGGGAATAACAGGTGTGTCCACAGGGGAGTGGGGCAAAAACAGTCGAGAAGATGGCCTCAATCCAACGATTGAATCCCTGCCCCTGTTAGATGACCCTGGATTCACATGGGAGCCCACCAGTGCAGGAACTGACAGTTGAACTCTCTGAAAAATTCTTGCAGATTTGGGGTGCTCATCCTTGATTCACAGCTTCTGCACATAACATGTGATGCCTTTCCTATTCTAAAATAGCTTAAGATACTTACCCACAGAATGCTATACTATGGAAAATAAATCCATTTCCCTGCATTTAAATTAGCTGGGTACCTGGTCATTTGATCCAAAAGAAATGGAAAATAATCTTGATTTTCATGTTCTTTGTAGAATTCACATGCTTGTTCTTCTGATAGGGTTATTTCCTTTTGCATTGCTATTTCAAAGCCATTTTCCTGAATTCTTTTCAGAATAGATTCTGCATGCCAAAAATTATATCGACAGTGTTACTTTTATATATGTATAAATATGGGTAATCTAAATGGCTGATGCTTTCCTAAAATGGAGATGATACAGCCTCACTATCCCATCAATTTTTGTCCCAAATCTTATTCTACACTACCACTCTAAACGTCCTCTTACATGTTCTATACCTCTTTCTGATATAACAGCTAAGTTATACTTCGATACCTGGAGAGACCAAACCTGTTAACACTGGGAAGAAAGAAAGCTATTGATGGAGGTAACAGATTTATCAAAATCATAAAGTAAATCATAAGGAGAGTTATACTGGATCAGAGCACGATTATTTAGATTATTACCTAGTCTAACATTTTGCTGAATGGAAAATCAACAAATAGGATTTGAGTGCAACAGCTCATGGCTGCCTGAGAAGGTTCATACTGGTTATCTTTTAATCTATATACCATTATTTGAAACCCACAATAGATTTCTATGATAGCCTTCTGAAACATGGGCACCCTCTATATGTGTTGAATTCTGAGTAATGTCCATGCTAGCTGGGGAATTCTGCAAGTTGAAGTCCACATCTCAGAAAGGTTTCAAGGTTGGGAAAGGCTGTTCCATAACATTTTCCTGTTGAGGTTTCCAAGGGAAGTTTTTCTTTAGACTTTCAATTAATTTGGGGTATAGTCCACAGATTTTCATTTATACCCAAGTGAGAAAGAGAGAAAGAGAGATGGAGAAAGAATGTGTGTGTGTGTTTCAAATTACACCACATTTTAAGCATCATTAGTGTTGGTAACTATATATTATTTTAGATCTTTTTGTTTAAAAATTGCTCTCCTTTTTAAAAAATTTTATCTTTTTATGTGTAAAAAGATGGAGTAAAATTCTAATGTTTACATTTGGAAATAGTGTAAGCTTAAAAAGGAAACATGCAAGGACTTCGAGTTAGAGCAAGTTCCTCAAGCTAAAAAAAGTAACTTTTCAGACACACGCAACCATCTGTATAAAGGATTATGCAAACACTTCCATAAGGCCTTGCATCAATCCTTAAACAGCATGCTATTTCAAAACATTGCACGCTCTGCCCCAATGCTGCATCATAGCTACTGCCAGCTCTTGCTCAACCTCACAAAACACCACCACTGTCTGCCTTTCTTCCACATTTTTATCAAAACCTACTACAAATAGCAAAGAAGTGCCATACATTCCAATTGTGTGGGAAGTCCTGGTAATAATTTTCACCAACCTCTTCTTTCTTTTAAAAGGGCAGGTCTGATCAATGCCAGTGTTCGTTCAATAACTGGTTCTTTCTTTGCCTTGGAAAAATCAGGGAAAAAGAAGGCAAGTTGCCTGCTTGTTTCTTCAACTCTATCCTGAATATCGCAGAGATGTAACATGTCTTGGTTTTCCAACATCTCTTTCAAGCTAATGAGGAGGAAAATAATGTAAAAAATTCATTTAATACTATCAGGAATTACTTTATCCTCAGCAGTTTGAAAATTAAATACTCAAATCTGCAAGCGAAATAACAGAGATTGCAAGCATCTTGTCAAAGGCAAAAGATAGATGTGAGGGTGCGTGTCACTACTATACTGAACAAGGTAAATACTTCCTCAGGTCCCTTGGCAACAGTACAAAAATAATTTGCCACTGCCTTTTTCTGAGGTGTTTTTTTCAACTTCCCAATTTAGCCTACAGCCCTGGGTTTCCCAGATAGATATCCCATTCAAGTATGTAACCAGATGTAATAACTGATTTCTGCTTATTAGATCAGTCAAGGTTGGCTAGGTGCTGCTACTTGCTGTGACAAAATATAAGATTAGGAAGCTTAAAAAATTCTCCCTATGAAAATTCTGTCAACATTCTTGGAGAACTGATTGTTTTGGAAGTGGCCCAAATGCATTGGTGAACTGCCATTCTGTTTTTTGAATTACCAGGTTTATTCAAATGATTATATCTGCATACACAATATTGCTAATTTTGGGTTAGCATCCCCTTTCCTCCTCCTCCCTCCCTCCCTCTTTTTCATATTATTACAACACATCACAATATATTCATAGTCATCACTCAAAAATCAAATCTTTATGTGAATTCATGAAGCTGTTGATCTCTTTTTTTCCTTCCATTTTAATGAACTCATTAAAGGTGGACACCAGTTTCTTCTGAAAAAGAAAGATGCTTGAAAACTGCAACAGTTGATGTGAGGGCAATCTGACTGTCACATCTGTCACCCCATTGAACACCAGGTTTGATTTTGCCCATCTGGCTGGCTTTCCTTGTTCACCGCTCCGTGCACATCCCTCTCAAAGCTGTGTTCTTGGAGGAATATGACACTTATCTCAGATAGAAGGAGAGGACCACCCTTTAGTCAAGGACATGTGGCAGTTGGGCTTCTCTACTATAACCTCTAAACAACAAATTCTGCAAAGACCAATTAAAGCCTGAATACACTAAATCTATTCATCCTCAAAATGATCCTGCAATGTACAGTGGTACCTCGGTTCACGAACGCTTCTGTTCACGAACAATTCAGTTCACGAACAGCTCCGTTCGCAAAATTTAGCCTCTGTTCGCGAACGCCGGGTC